CGCGCTCCGCCGAACCCCGGGCCGGGGGCGGCCGGGGGCTGGCGCCTGCGAGCCCTCGTTAACCCCTGCGGCGCCTCCTCCGGAGTCACTTCCCTCCCCCGAAAACCGGCGTTGCGTATTTTCCCCTCGCCTGCTGCTGCTTAGTTGAAAAACAGACTTCAGAAGAGACGTGCGGCAGAACACTTCGGTCGTTTCGGAAAAGAACTGACTGTGGTACTGACTTTTGGTTTGGTTTTTTTTTTTTAAAGCTTCAAATGTTGGAAGTTTGACATGGAAGGGAATGTGGTTCGAATTTTTCGGTATCTTTTCAAAGCCTTTTTTCCCCTGTCTGTTTTCAGTTGCTGTGCGGGTATACGTTCTCTTCTATCGACAGTGCTTGAGCTGAGAACATTGTTTGGCTGTTGTGCTGATTAACAAGATTTTTTTTTTTTTCTTTTCCTTCTGCTGACATACTATTTTTGTTATCTTTTATCACAGAAACGTTTTATTAAGGGGTTGAGGCAGTACGGCAAGAACTTCTTCAGGATCCGAAAGGAGTTGCTTCCAAATAAGGAGACTGTAAGTACATTTGGACTTTATGTAATTTGCTTTTTCTCTTGCTGCTTCAGTGTTTGATCTTACGAAACTATTTCCTTTTCACCCTGAACTGAATTCTCTGCAAATAAATGGAAGAGAAATCCGCAGCCAGAAAAGGTAGCTGTAATTTTTAGTGCGGTTTTTAGGTCTTGCTGTACAAGAGATGTTACATAAAATAGTCGTCGCTGCTGGACGGAGTCACTAAGGTTGGACAAAGTGTATTTATGGAGACCAAATCTAATTTTAAATTCTGACATGATGGGATAATACATTTATGTCACCCAGTTGGGCTCAAATGGCAGCAGGTAATTAAAGAAAGCCTAAAACAAAACAAAATCTAATTGAATCTGGAAGACTGAGGTATGTGCCTGCTCCTAGACCTGCAGAATTTGGTTGTTGTATTTAACTCTTCACCTTCCTGAAGCATGTGGACAGCAAGCGTGTAGCTTCGTTTCGGAATTGATGGGTGGCTTAGTACTCTACTGAACTTGGTAAAGCTTGCATAGCTGTCGTTCTGCTGGAAATCCCGGCAAGTGCTTAGGAGGAAGATGGACAGGGAGGAGTGGTTGACTTCTTCAAAGGAAAGAGGGTTTGGGAAGCCTTGGGAATCTAGTTACTTTTCCATTAGTCCTAATTGCCAAGCTTCTCTAGAAGCTTCGGTTTCTGTTCTGCAGGTGTCGTTTAGCTGTGGGGAGGGTGGTTCTGGAAAGCAGTTTTCATATTTGTTCTGAATTTAGAAGGGAGATAACTCGGTGAAAATTGAGTTAGACTATTTTCTAGTGATGTGTTAGTGATTGGAAGACATTTATTTAAAGCATAACTGGTTGTTTAGGCTTATCTCTGTGTGGAATTTGGATGTTCAGTGGGGAAGAACATTACTGTAAAAACATTTTAAAACCTATCGCTTACTGTAGGACGTTTCCATTCTCTTCTGAGATGTTCTTGTGAGGCGATGCTGTGATACCACGATCTTTCATTAGTAAATAGTTAGTGACACTGCATAAGTCAAATAGAAAGGGGAGGATGAAATGGTTCCTGGAGTGCCTCAGTTGGTGTATGTGCTCGCTGATTCTCCCATTGGGAATGATGGGAAAACTTAATTACCGGTCAGGTGTAGGTAGACTTTGCTTTAGTATCCTGTTGGATTTTGAGGCATGAAGGCCCAGCGTTGGAAAGATGACAGCTTAGAAGGAATGTCGAAATGGTCCGCTTCTCAGCAACATCTAACAAATCCAGCACATAGCTTAAGCGGTCCTTTCCTCTTTTCTTTAAAGTATCTCCTAGCAATGTATTTAGAACCAATGGGCGTTTACTTCAGAAATTAATTCTGCTGGTGGTAAAGTTTCTGAGAGGCGAAAGTACTCTTCTAAAGTTTGAATTACAGCAACTATGAAATACGCTTTTAAATACAAAATGTCTCTTTCTGAGAGAGAAAAACAGTTTGCAGGAGAAAGGAAAAGAAGAACTACAGAACTGAGAGCTGGGGGCAGGTGTCTGACCCTGTTTGTACCACTTGACTTCCACACTTGAACTTGGGTATCGGGCCTAAGGCTTTTCGTAAAAGTTTTGCAAGTCTGCAAGTGGTGGGAAACTTTATATAAGCTATCATTTTTCAAGTTTTACAGTTTTGTTTCCTTACGTCTAAATTTTTAGTATAGAGAAGAGTAACTATTAAGTTTGAGCAACTGGGAAGCAGTGTGTTGATGGTTTTGAGCAGGCTTTTTTAGCCCCTAGTGGTAACTGATCTACAAATAACCTTTGACCTACAACGGATTGTTTAATCTCTGTTTCCTATTTTTGTCACAGGTCTCGTTCTGCTTTCTTTTCATTCCCAGTCTTTTTCAGACAAAATTTACAGCAGTTTTGCTGTAGCAGGACACGCAGAATAAAGGCTGCAGTAAATAATATTTGACTCTCCAGTTTTGCTTTTTCTCCTTAAAGTGGAATAATGAATAATGTAAATTACAAGGCTGTGGAATTAGTCTGTCTGTATTTTTTTCATCAGCAGAATAATTTCAGATACTTTGCCTGCCATTTTTCTATTGCAGTGTGAAGTAACCCTCTAGCAATTCCAGAAACGCTAGAAAAAAAGGCCTTACTTTCCTGTTTAGCCACCATATTAACATGAGGTGAAACTCTAAAAATTATTATATGGACGCAGAAGCACTACAGCAACTCCCAAGTTCTGCAAAAGCTACTTGAAAATGAGTCAGGGGCATTCTTGAAGTGACTTGTCCTAAATGGAAACCAGGCTGTAGGTGAAAACATCCTGCACGTTTCTAATTTATGAGAGTTTACCTTACCGGTCACTGAAGCCTGTGGGGAGGGGAGCCAGGGTTTTTGCCTCTCTGCAAAACGCACTTAAAGTTAAATCTCCTTATTATCATGCTTCTTGTATAACATGTGCCTTTTCTAGACACATATTTATGCTACTTTCACTGGGGGAGAACTCCTCCTAGTATTGCCTTAAGCCCGGCGCTTGGAAGGTTGCAGTAGTGGCAGATAAGTAATACAACAGAAATACAAAATTATTGTAGAGACTGGGCCTCTTTTATGTTAAATCAAGCTGATGCTGCTGTACAGGAAGTCAGAATATAGGGGTGAATATGACGTCGTATTTCTCTTGCAGCATTGGGAGGTGTAAAGTGGCCATGGTGAGAGATGAGAATTACGCCGTGCTGTACGAAGTTTTCACAAGCATGTTAAGGGATCTCCTATTCGAGTTGTCCCTTTGCTATTTTTTTTCCTCTCCACAGTTAACGTACCGTATCTTCTAAGAAAACCCTGTATTTGTCGATGTGTGTGTTAACTAGTTTAACGTAGTTTTTCAACAATTTTTCGTTGTTTCTTCTAAATGAATAACCAGCAAGAAAAAAATCTTTATGAAGGAAAATATTTACTGCATATCAAAACTGTGTGTTTGTTTAGGTCTCCACTCTTCTAATTTATTTCAAATTTTCAGTTTATTTCAAAGTTTATGTCCGAGAGGCGTTTCCCGTGGGCAGGAGTGTCAATAGCTGTACCATTCTCTTCAAGCTTTTATAAGCAAGAGGCAGAGCAACTAAAATCAGCTCTCAGTTGAGCTGGCCCTCTGCTGAAATGGGAATGCTGAAACGGCTCAGGGAAAGCCAGCAGTTTTAAGGCCGGATCAGTCAGTGTTAACCTTGTGATACTCTGAATAAAAAGTGCTTCCATGCAGATGAGCTCAAATAAAACTTTGGAAACTTCCTTGGGTTTCCATTGAACTCTGTCTTAAATGGCTTTCTCTTAGTCAGTTATGGCTGTAGTTGGATGGCACAGCTGAAGTACCCTGCTCTCGTTTGGTTCATGCTTAGCAGCACTTTCGATTCTTCTACATGGTAAGCAGAGAAATAAATTTTGGAGGCACTTATGTGACGTGAACGGTTTTCATTAATAACTTTCATTTGAATTTGTATGTTGTGAGAATGCAAGGTACACAGCTGGCAACAAGTTTTCTGATTTGGCTTTAAATGTGTTTCCCCCCTGCCCCCCAGTTTTGGGTTAATTTGCTAAAACTTTGTGGTAATATGGGATTTTCAGAGTATTTAAAATTCTCCTGCTCTGAATTCTTTAGGTGATTACCTTGAGCTACTTGAATTGGAGAGTTTTAGAAGCACTAGCATTGTGATAGGCCTGAGATAAATGTACTTAAATGCCTACAAGGTTGGGGATTGACTTACTGTGTTCTTGTAAGTAGCTTAACTCTGTGTTAGTGACATGCAAAAGGTAAATAGAAACATGGAATGAAGGCGAGCGGGAGCAGAGCAGTAATTCCCAGTCGGAGGAGGAGGAGGAGGCCAAGTGGCGGTGCCAGCTTGCTCAGGTTTAGAGCTGGGTCCTGTTGCGCTCAGCCTACCCTTGCGCTGGTCGCTCAAACGCTTCTGAAAGCTTCGGCTAGGGTGCAGTTTCAGTTTGCCTGAACTATTTAAGGCCACGGTCCCAGAAGAAAGATTTGCTTTCCTCTGGCTGGAATTCCTGCAGCCTGCTTTATGTCAGATGTGTTGTCTGACCTGCAGAACTCAAACATCTTACCTGGGTTCGTTAGCCGCTAGGAATGGAGGGGGATGTATGTGATTGTCCCTTTGGCAGCCTTACATAGGTGTAAGAATAATACCATATTACACCGTTAGCTAGCCATGGCATATGCTGCAATTGAATTGAGGCTTTGGAAACACTGTCTTTCATGGGAATAGGCCCAAGTACTTTTGACCTCTTTTACCTGTTCTTAAAACTGGGGATGACACCTATCTGAATGTTCTGAGGTTCTCCAATGACTTCTACTGAATTCTTCAGGGAAGGTTTATGGTACAGTGACTGTGACCGTGGTCTAATTGTCTGCTTGGCTTTTTTCTGGCAGGCTGAAGCTCCTTAGTGAGTCCTGTAGAGCTGCTTGCTTAGTGAGAAGCCTAAAAAGAGGACAGTGAATCTTTGTGGAGGCATGCAGACTTTGGTCTGATTTTGTTTTGAATTTCCCTGTCGAGCACATAGGTATCTTTGGCGTGTATGATTTTTGGTTTGGCTGCTTAGCAAGAGACGTCAGAGTGCGATCGAAAGGTCTTGCCTCTGGGTGGATGCTTCTGTATTTAGCTTTAAAACACAGTGTAAATAGAAGTCATGAATATCAGTTGTTTTCCTTAGATCAGAATACCTATTTATGCGTGTAAGAACTATATATGCATCACTTTCTTCTTTAGGAAAAATATTCTCTCTTCTGATAGTAGAATCCTTCTGTCCAGATTAAATGCTGTTGGAATTTATCTCGGAGACTAAATAAACTGTGCTCTGTTAATGTTAGGAGACAAAATGAGCGCAGCGTGCGATTTCAGCATAAACTTCTGTTTAATTTTAGATTGGGGTTTAGATAAACAATTTTATTCTTGCCTCATTAACGCTTAATCTTGTGTTACATAATGTACAATATTGGCTTCCTGAGTGGCTCTTAAATATAGTGCAAATGTGTA